GGAGAGGGAGAGCAGAGAGAAGAGGAAAGGGAGACAGAGAGAGGGGAAGAGGGGGGAGAGAGGAGGGAGAAAAGGGGAGAAGAAGGAAGAAGGGAGAGACAGAGAGAGGGGTGAGAGAGGAAGCAATTGAGGAGAAAGGGGGGAATGTGAAGAGAAGACAGAGGGAGAGAGGGGGAAAGGCGGGGCTGGGGCAGAGAAGGGTAAGGGGGAAGAGAAAGGGGAGAGAAAGAAGGGAAAGGCAGAAAGGGTTAGACAGGGCACCAGAGTGGTGGGTTCCCTTTTGACCCAACACACCCTCCCTCACAACCTTGAACAAGTGGAGTCTGCAGACGGGACGCATGGGGAAGGTGGGCCAGGTGCTGCTGGTGCCTGGGCACCCTGTGTGAGAGAGACAGATGAATATTTCCTAACAGCTGACTGTGGAATCTGCCCCTGGGATGGGCATATCAGAGCTGAAGGCAGTGCAGTTTTTGAAGGAAGCTGAGGTCAGTAACTCTGGATTTTAGAACAGGGTAGAGTGGGGGCAGAAGTGATCAGAAACAAGGGTCAGTAGCAGTGGAGGGGGATGGGACCCCCTCGGTTCACAGCTGGACTTCACATGAATGATGGCAATGTATTGTAAAGCCCCCAATGTTGTTTCAATACTTAACAGAATATCTTACAAATATCTTACACACATTACAAATCATTGCCCCCCAAGCTAATGGAGCCCCCATTCTAGTCAGGGCTCTCATCATTTCTCCTGCACCAGCCCCCTACCTCATCACCCACAGCCTGTCTTTCTCCCCACCCGTCCATCTTCCACCAAGCAGCCAGAATCATCCTCTGACCATGCTGCTGCCCTGTTCTAGAATCATCAGTGGATCCCTATTGCCTTTAAGATAATATACAAACTCCTCAGCCTGGTCTCAAAGCTCTTCCCTCGGCAGCTCCCCTCTTCTTTGTCCCCACTCATACATTCCACAACCCACCCAAACCGAGCCTCCCAAGGACACCTGTTTGTGTCCTGATCTAGGCCTTCCAGCTGCTCTCTGCTTTTTCACAAGCCATCCCCCTTCCTAGAGTGCGCTCCCTCATCTTTGCAACCTTTCTAGCATCTCCGGGGTCCCTCCTACACCTGGGAAACCATTCCTGTATTCACCTTTCCCTTGATCTGCAGCATCCCCCAGGAGTATGACCAAAAGCACCTTCAGGGCAAGGATTATTTTCATTTGTGGCATTTCTAGAGTCTGGCACATAGTAGGCTCTTTTTTCTTTTCTTAACATAGGCTCTTAACAAATGCTTATAGACTAGGTTTAGAGGCCAGTGTCTACCAAAGGGCAGGAGTCAGCTGCAGACGAATTACATCCCATTAGTCTCCTCCTAGGCTACGTGACCAGCATTTTTTACCCCCCATTTGTAGAGGTGGAGACGGGTTATTGCCAGATTCACCAAGTGAGTCAGCAGCAAAGATGTCATGCTAGGATGTTAGGTCTAAGACGGGGGTGGGGGGCTTTAGAGACCCTCTGGTCCAAGGATGCTTCACCTGCTTCGGGCCCTGGATCCCTCTGACAGTCTGATGAAGGCTAGATTCCTTCTCGGAATAATGTAAATTATTAGTGTAACTAGTATTATTAATGTAGTGAATTATTAATCATGTAAATCAGAAAAAATGTGTAAAATGGAGTACAAAGAAAATTCTACTGAAAAACAGCTATCAAGACATCAAAAAAACTACTCATTTCACAGGTGGGGCCCAGAGAAATTAAGTGACTCACCCAAAGTCTCATAGATAGAAACTGGCAGAGATAGGATTTGAACCCAGGCCCTATGACTCCAAAGCTAGGAAGTATTTCCCACCGGACCACTCTATGTTGAGAACATAACCCAAGCTTCCTGCCTCAAAGGCTGAGCCACATAACCACTCTACCTCCCTCCAAATTCTTTTCAAAAGAACTTTTTTCCAGTGGTGATTTCAAAGGGTAATACAATTTTAGGATTCACTGGTTATTTTTTAAAAATTTGATCCTTTCACGGTAAACAGTGTGACCAAGTAAAAGGGACCCGGGCAGGCTGCAAGGTCAGACAAGCAGCTCCTGGGGCCATTCATGCGGGACCTCGGCTGCCAAACTCTCCAGGGACGTTGGGGCAAAAGCACAAGCCTTGAATGCCAACGTCTAGTTGTTAGCTTTCATTCCTTCTTCTGTTACACAGACGAGATGAAATGAGGGGCCGCAAAGGAGATGGAGACACTCTTGCAGAGACCAAGAGAGAGACAGAATCTGTTGGTCAGTTGTGTCCAACTCTTCGTGACCCCATTTGGGATTTTCTTGGCAAAGAGACTGGAGTGGTTTGCCATTTCCTTCTCCAGCTCATGTTACACATGAGGAAATTGAGGCAAACAGGGTACAGTGACTTGCCCAGGGTCACACAACTAGTAAGTGTCTAAAGCTGGATTTGAACTCAGGTCTTCTTAACTCCAGGCCTGGTGCTCTACCTGCTGCACCACCTACCTGCTCATAAGAGACAGAGAAGCACAGTCTCAAATGAAAACAATTCAATAGAAGGCTTTCCCCCACCGCCTCTGAAAGACAAGCAACTGTCATTTTCTTGGGCCGATGGTCACCGGGAAGGAAGTGCAGACATACAATATATGGCATTATTCACTGTCACAGGCCAACCATGCCCCTGTGGATGGGCCAGGCTCAGTGGATGCATCTCGCCATAACTTCTGCCATGAAAAGGCCCACCACCACCACTCCGGGCTGGGTATGGGAAGGTGGGCACCACCACATGCTGGTGGCTGGTGGAGGGACTCATAGACTAGAGTGGGTTGATAGGACACATGTGTCATGGTGATATAGCAACCATTACAAAAACCTGGTCAAGAAGAAAGAAAGTAGAAGATGGTCCTGCAAAGAGGCTCCTGGGAGAAGATGGAGCTCCTCCTGAATCAGGATTATTTCTCATTCCCACCACTTCAGGTCACTTAGAGGCTGTCCAGGCCCACTTAGACCTCAAAAGGCATCCATGTGACAGCACACCCAGCACACGGGCCTCCAGACCCCTGCTGGAGACCCTCCAGGAAGGGCCCACTCCCCTTTGGGACAGCTCTCGTATTAGAAAACGTTGCCTTTTCTTGGCCAAGCTAGTCAGCCCCACCTCCTTCCCCTATTCCTCCTTGGAGGATTCCAGGCCCTGTCTTCCCCGTCCTCTTTGTTCTCCATGGCATCCTCTCCACTCATCAGCATCTTTCCTAAAATGTGGCGCTCACAACTGACCCCAAAGTTCCCAGATTGGTCTGACCAACGCAGCAGATGGTGAAATGAGTTACACTCCCATCCTGGTCATCGCTTCTATTCTCAAGAATCTTTCAGCTGTTATATTAAGCCATGACTTTATCTTCCTCTGGAAGCATTTGACCAATGACAATTTGGTTTTTTTTCTCTTTTATCAACAGGGCCATAGAAAGATTGCTGAAAATCCCCTGAACAGCAGATGCAGCCTCCAGAAGACCAGATTCCAGTTCCCATTGGTTTTGACCAACAGCTTTTCATTTGTTTCAAGTTTCACAGAAGTCTCTATCTGCAGTTACCAAAAACAGCAAGAAAAAGATATTCTGAAGGTGATCTCAAGGCTGCTGAATTGTGACAATTACCCATGTGATTTCAATGATCAGCAATCAGTTTGTCCCAGACATAGGGCCGTTCAGCTCAACCTTCAGCTACTGCAATCACAAAATGATTTCCAGGGTAATGAACTCCCAGAGAACAGCTCAAGGACACATCCAAGCCCGGCAGGCTCTACCTCTG